TGAAGGAGCACGTGAGGCCGGCGATCTTTTCGGACGCCGTCGCAGTGACCTCAATGGAGAGGGAGGGAGGGAGGGAGGGAGGGAGGGGCTGGCAGGAGGGCGGGAGGGAGGGCGAGAGGAAGAAGATATAAGACAGGGATGATGATGAGCAGGAGGAGCAGGGCGAGGACCAGCAGAAAGGGGGGGAGGAGCGCGGTGGCGAGGGGGAGCTGTGGCGCTGAGCCATCACACGGTAAGCCCCTTTTCCAGACATCCGGCGAGCTTGTTTATTTGAATCAAGCGCCCCTCCCAAGACGTCTGTCTCGCCCCCCCCCGTGCGACCTTGAAGGCCCTCTGCTCCGCTGCCCCTCCTCGCGGGGTGCGCAGGGGCGGCCGTCCTTCTTTTCTCTTCGGCGCAGACTTCGCTTCGGCAGGGCAGGGCGGGTTTTGCATGTTGGCCCCTTGGCGGCTGGGGCCGCACACGCCCCAGACGGGCGACCCCCAGCGCCCGTCGTGCCTCCCGGGTCGTTTCTTGACGGCCCCGGGGCCCGATGAGGGCCCCCGGAGGCCGAAGTTTGCGTCCACGCCCGTGTCGTGAGGTAGGGGTCTGGGCTGGCAGCTGGAGTCGCACAGACCGAGGAGCCCCCAGATTTCCCGGCCTCTTCCCTGGGGGTGCAGTGTTCAGGAGGAAGAAAACCACAGAGACACAATTCATCGTCGATTCCCACCAAAAATATGGGAAAGCATGGGAAGTGGGGGAGAAGACACAACAAAGAACCGAAAATAGGGGGAAATATGGGGGATCGTGTTACTTGTGTGTGTGTGTGTGTGTGTGTGTGTGTGTGTGTGTCTGTTTATGTGCCCCAGGGCCCCTTCGGGTGTTTTGCCTCCCCCCCGCTGCGCGCGGGCAGGCCCCGGGGGGAGGGGCCAGGGGCGGGGTCGAGGAGAGGCGCCCCCGGCGTCGAAGAGGACGCCCCCAGCGTCGAAGGCCTGCGCTTGCCGCCGAGCCGTCGACCCCAGAGATGCGACGCTCCAAACAATTGGAGCGTTTTTTTCCATACATATATATATACACACATATATATATACATATATATATATATGTATTTATATGTATATATATACATATATACATATACATATGTAAACAAAAACATAAACTTATAATAAGTATAATGATAATGGTACGGATGGTAATACTAATAATACCAATAGTACTAGAAATGATAATAATCGTAATAATACTAATGAAGATACTAGTATTGATAATATTATTAATAATACTAATAATAATTATAATAAGAATGATCATAATAATGTATAAACAGAAACAAAAAAAACAATAATGAGTTGCGGGTTTGGGGCCGTTTTCGGCCTCAGGGGGCTCTCGCCAAGGCCGCGGGGGCGTGAGAAAACAACTCAGGACGAAGAGCCAGCCCCAGGGAAGTGGTCCGGACCTCGGGGGCCCAGGCATCCAACCAGTTGCAGCAGCTGGGTGTTTGGAAATGGTGGGCCTCCTGCCTGCCCCGGCAGGTCGCGCACTCTGTCTTCCTGCGCTACCGGTCCATCAGCGGGTGCTCAGGAGGGCAAAAGGTCATGAGAAAGATACGTTCCAAGATGTTTCGGGGGTGGACAGGCCTCCTACCCTGACACGTCGATGAGTGAATTGTCCGTTTTCGGTTCTCGAGAGGGCGCCGCGGCCATTATTTTCCAGGCTTGCGCCCGCCAGGTTTGGGCCTCAGGTCGTTTTCACTAAACCACGTTTTTCTAAAGGGGGGTCTGTCCATCGCCGAAAGGTCATGAGAAAGATACGTTCCAAGATGTTCAGGATCTCTCATATCTCCGAAGCTTCCGCACGGGCTGATTACGGAAACGAAGAGTGCTAGCTATTCTGGACACCCTGGAACGCATCCTGACCCAGTCCCAGGATTCGCCACGGGGAAAACGGATCCTGCGGGAAGCGGGTCCTGAGCATCAGAAAGCGACTCGGGATGAATCAGGAGGGAAAGAAACACACAGACACAATTAATCGTCGACTCCCAGAAAATATGGGAAATTATGGGAAGTGGGGGGGAAGACAAAAACCCAGAAAATATGGGAAAATATAGGGGATTGTTTAATTTGTGTATTTATTTGTGTGTCCTGGGGCCCCTTCAATGAAGGTCTCGTCCGGGGGGAAGGCCGCAGGGTCCAGGACCCGTCTCTTTCAGGAGAGCAGACCGCGAGAGAAACATAACACAGTCGGCCCGGATTCGTAGGTCGGCCTTGCCAGCTCAAGGGCACCCTTGCGTCCGATGTGGCCCTCGGAAGGGTCTTGTGTCCTCTCGCGTGTCCTGTCCAATCAAGGCCGACTGTAACTCGGAGGTCCGCGCGGAGTTCTTGGATCGGCGCTGAGGCCCCCTGGCGGCGCCTCCGGCGCCGCCTCGGGCGCGCTCCGCGCGCCAGGGAGGGGGGTCCAGCGCGGATCCGAGCATTCCGCGCAGACCTCCGAGTTTTTGTGCCATTGCTTGTTTCCCTACATTCATTCCAGTCGGGCCTGTCCCTCTACAGGAGGACTATTCAAACATAGTCACCAAAATGGTCTTGGGACGATGTTTGCTTATCTTGTCAGAGTCTTTTCGAATAGTTTTGGGATCTGTTCCATTTTTCCTCCCAGATCCGCCTGTAGGGGGACGCCCGACCTACAGTGGGGGCGCGTGCCAAGAAACCAGTTGGATTTTGCCAGGGTGCCCTGGGTTTCTTGGATTTCGATGGGCTCCCAATCAGATCTTGACGATCTTCGATCGACACATGCGGATTTTCACTGAACAAATCGCGGATTTCAGGGTTGGGTCTCTTGCGGAGGTTTCTTGTGGCCGAGCCCCCACTGTAACCCTACGTGCCGATATTCTCGTCTCAGGTGCGGCGAGCTCGTCCGAGAGGCGCGCAGCTGCGCGGAGCAGTTCGGGCCCGCGCACCTCGAGGTCGGCGGCTCCCGGGCAGCCCCCCGCTGCACGCGCTCGGGTGCTGCTGGTGCTGCTGCTGCCGGCCGCCGTGGTGTTGCTGCTCCGGAGGAGGAGGAAGAGGAGGAGGAGGAGGAGGAGGAGGAGGAGGAGGAGAATGGGGTTGGAGGAGGAGGAGGAGGAGGAGGAGGAAGAGCAGGAGGAAGAGGAGGAGGCGGAGGAGGAGGCGGAGGAGAAGGAGGAGGAGGAGGAGGAGTACTGCTGCTCCGGAGCATCCCAGACCCCCTTCGCGTCGCGAGCAGAACACGACGTGAGGCTTTTGGCCGTTTGGGGCCCCTGCGGGCCCTTGCCGGGCCCCAGGGCCGTCACGGAACGACGCGGGACGAAAAACGGGTCCCAGGGGAAAGGGTAGGTATTTCGAGGGTTCTTCATCGAAAGAGTCATGATTTCGGATGTTTGATGTCCGAGGTTGTTGTTCTTCAGTAGTGTTGTTATTGGTGGTGGTGATGATGCGGTGCTGCTACTGCCTGGCCGCTTCTCCTCACCCGCCTGTATCATATTTTGTTTGTTCCATCGTGCTCCTGCTTATCCGCCTTCCATGTTTTCTCCCGCTCCTGCTCATCCCGACCCTGCTCCTACTCGCTCTCCTGCTCCTGCTGATCATGCTCCTGTTATCCTACTACTTCCCCTGCTTCTCTCTCTTTCCGTCCTCCCTCCTCTCTCCTTGTGCTGCTTCTGCTTCAGTCCCCGCTCCTCCCCCCTCCCCTTCCCACCATCGGCTGCCCGTTCAACCTCTTACATAACTCGTCTAGCACCCCATCCCTCCCCCTCCGACTCCTCCTGATGTGTATCGCACTAGGCGCGCGACGATGCCAGCAACGCACGATAGTACGGTGGCCAGTTCCTGTCCAGGGGCCTGGAGGGAGTCCAAGCAATGTGCGGTGCACGGTCGCCGCCTCCTCTCGACCCCGATGAGTGGGGCATGCTCATCTCGATGATCTTTGTGTGTCTGTGTGTGTGTGTGTGTGTCTGAGTCTGTGTCAGTGCCCGTGTCTGTGTTTGTCTGTGTTTGTGTCCGCGCCTTCTGAGACATTTTCTGTTTCTTCGGGGGAGGCTCAAAAACTGTCCAAAAGGCCAGGGGACTCCTGAGCTTCCCGAGAAGGTCTTCTCCTCACTTCCCCCGGGGCTCGCCGCCGACCTTGGCTCGTGGTCCATCCGCGGCCCTCGAACCCCAGAACCCTGGCGCTGTAGTCTTGTCACAGCGAGAGCGCCAGGTGTTGGACCCCGGGGCCATCACAGATCGAGTCGGCCCGAAAAATGCTGCAGAAAGAGGCGGTCTGGGGCTCTAGTCGTGATTCGCTGCGATGCTACACCGCTTTTCACAACGTCGGATCTCAGAGAAGGCCCGACCATTTCCCCAGGGGGTGTTTTATGTCCCTGAACCGTTCTGGACTGCCCAAGTCTAGGCCTCCTAGATGGGGTCCGAGTAGATGGGCTCGGAGGATCGCGCAGTAACGTCGGTGCATCGGCGATGCGGCTCGTTGTGGAGCCCAATTTTGTCCACGCTTGCGTCGCCGATGCATCGCCGATGTATCGGCGATGCATCGCCGAGGCGCCGCGATCCTCCGACCCCGTCTACTCCGACCGCATCTAGGAGGCCTCTACCCAGGGCCCAGCCGAACGCGCAAGGAGCAGACACGCCAGCTGGGATTACTCCGACGGTGAGACCCTGCACGAGAATATGTTCAGTCTGCCTGGGGATCTCCTCCTGCCCCCTCCCTTCTCCCACCTACTCCTGCCTCATCCTTCTCCTCCTGCCTGATCCTGCCTGCTCCTCCTCTTGCCACAACCCCTGCCTCCTCCTCCTCTTGCCTCCTCCACCACCTCCTTATCCTTTTCCCTCCCCTCGCTATGCCTCCTCCCCCCATTCCCCCTGTTCCTCCTGCCTCCTGCGTCCTCCTCCTGCTTTCCCTCTCCCTCCTCCTCCTCTTCCTCCTCCTCCTCCTCCTCTTCCTTCTCCCCTCTCCCGCCTCCTCCTCTCCCTCTCCCTCCTCCGCCTACTCCTCCTCGTCTCCATCTTCCTCCCCCTCCCCCTCTCCCTCCTCCTCCTCCCTCCTCCTCGGGCCTCCTGCCTCCTCCTGGGGCCTCTTGGGGCCTCCTGGAGCCTCCTGGAGCCTTCTGGGACTCCCGGGGCATCCTCGGGCCTCCTAAGGCACTCCTCTTCCTCCTTGTCCTCCTCGTCCTTCTCGCCGTCTGCCTCGTCCTCTTCCTCCTTCTCGCTTTCGTCCTGCATCCTCCTTCCTCCTTCGTCCCCCTCCTCCTCCTACGATGTGCGTCCGAAGAGATACGCGCCAGAGGACGACCCAGAGGAAGCGCGCGCTGGAGGACGTCCCAGAGGACGACCCGAAGGAAGCACGGGAGGTGCGGGCCCGATCGGGAGGGAGCTCCCGCTTGAAACTTTCTCACAATTCACTCACAAACGAGGTTCCCGCCTGATACTTTCCCCATGTTCAAGCCCAAAGCGACGACAGTTACAGGATTCCGATGGCCCGCCTGGGATTAAAAACGTGAGCCGCGGGCCCCAGAGGGAGGGGGCTCCCGTCTGAGACTTTTTCGCAGTTCAAGCACAGGCGAGGTTGTCGCCTGATACCTCTTCCATATTCAGGCTTCAGGAACCCCAAAATGACGACAGTTAGACAGATGAGGATGATCCGCTTAGATTACCAACGTGAAGTGCGGGCCGCATGGGGGGGGGGCTCCCGCTTGAGACGTCCTCACAAGTCACTCACAGACGAGGCTCCCGCCCGATACGTCCTCCATACTCAGACCTGAAAAGTACCTGCGCGGGGCGTCCAGAGAAAATGATGTTGAGTGATGAGAGAGAGATAGAGTGTGTGTGGTGTGTGCGATTGAGTCTGATGATGATGATGATGATGATGATGGTGATGATGAGGATGAGGATGAGGATGATGATGATGATGATAATGATGATGATGATGATGATGATGATGATGATGATGATGATGATGATGATGATGGTGATGGTGATGGTGATGGTGATGGTGATGATGATGATGATGATGATGATGATGATGATGATGATGATGATGATGATGATGATGATGATGATGATGGCGGTGGTGGTGATGCTGGTGATTCCCGCAATCCCGTCCGGCACCACGGCCTGGTGCCCGACCTTTACAGCGGGGGGGGGGGCGTCACGTTATGACCCCTCCCCGCCCTCCGCCCTCCCCCCCTCCCCGCCCCCATAACACCCCCCCTCCCCGCTCCCCGCCCTCCCGCCCCCCCCCTCCCCGCCCCCCCCTCTCCGCCCCCTCCCCCCTCCGCCCTCCCCCCTCCGCCCCTCCCCCCCTCCCCGCGAGTCAAGAGGCTCTCTCTTGCTGGTTTGCGCGGACCTTCCGCTCGTGCGCGGACCTCGCGGCGCGGCCTCTGCCGCGTGGGCGGCCCGCGGCCCGAGGTCGCACCGATCGGACGCGCGGCGGGGCCGCGGCCCTGGGCGCGCGCCTGGCGGGCCTCGAGCCCCCCGCCGGGGAGCGCGCGAATGGCGGAGGCGGGCGACGCCGAGCCCCCGGCGAAGAGGGCCCGGGCGGGCGGCGAGGCGGTGGAGGCGACCGTGTCCGCAGACGACGCCGCGTGGCTGGCGGGGGCGAAGCAGCTCAGGACTGCGGGGGCTCGAAGACGGGGCCGTGTCCTCCTCCTCCTCCTCCTCCTCCTCCTCCTCCTCCTCCTCCTCCTCCTCCTCCTCCTCCTCCTCCTCCTCCTCCTCCTCCTCCCCCCCCCCCTTCCTCCGGTGATTTTTGTTTCACCACGGGGGATGTTGCCTTGTTTCCGGCTCTGGGACCCTCACACATCGGCCTGGCTCGAAAAATGATAGAGAAAGATGAGTCCGAGGGCTCCGGTCGTTGTTTCTCGAGATGCCGATGTTTTTTGCAACGTCAGATCTGAGGGTCCTCCCTCTCCTCTTCCTCCTCCTCCTCCTCCTCTTCTTCCTCCTCCTCCACGACCACCTCCACCACGACCACCTCCTCCTCCTCCTCCTCCTCCTCCTCCTCCTCCTCCTCCTCCTCCTCCTCCTCTTCCTCCTCCTCCTCCTCCCTCTCCTCCTCCTCTCCTCCTCCTCCTCCTCCACGACCACCTCCTCCTCCTCCTCCTCCTCCTCCTCCTCCTCCTCCTCCTCGGTGGCAGGCGGCCTCGCCCGCACGGGGGGGGGGGGGGGAAACGCGCGGGGGGCGCGGGCGAGCGCCGCGGGGCGCGCTGGGCCTCCCGTGGCCCCCGCGCCGCGCCGCGCACAGGCTGCTGGAGTCGCTCGCCGGCGGCAAGGCGGAGGTGGCCGCGAGCGGCAAGGTCGGCATAGCGTTGCCCGCCGCGGGCGGAGGCGCGCGAAGCACGCTCTAGCTTGCTGTCTCCTCCTCCTCCTCTTCCTCCTCCTCCTCCTCGTGCTCCTCCTCCTCCTCCTCCTCCCCTCCTCTCCTCCTCCTCCTCCTCCTCCTCCTCCTCCTCCTCCTCCTCCTCCTCCTCCTCCTCCTCGTGCGCCTTCCTCTCCTCCCCCTCCTCCCCCTCCTCCTCCTCCTCCTCCTCCTCCTCCTCCTCCTCCTCCTCCTCCTCCTCCTCCACGCCACAGAGGTGCCAGCGACGCATCCACGACGCATGGGATGCGCCACGAAAAAGGGGCGCCACAGAGCGTCGCAGCTGCGTGGCCAGTTTGTGTAGTAGTGCGATTGCGCATCCTGTGCGCTGCGGATGCGCTGGGGATGCGCCAGCGGCACCACTGAGCATAGGAGCAATCGGTGGTGGTGATGATGGTACTGCTGCTAATGCCGATGCTGATGCTGTTGCTGCTGATGATGACAGTGATAATGATAATGATGATGATGATGATGCGGATGATGATGATGATGATGATGATGATGATGATGATGATGATGATGATGATGATGATGATGATGATGATGATGATGATGCTGATGCTGATGCTGATGCTGCTGCTGCTGCTGATGATGATGATGATGATGATGATGATGATGATGATGATGATGCTGATGATGATGATGATGATGATGGTGGTGGTGGTGATGGTGGTGATGGTGATGGTGATGGTGATGGTGATGGTGATGATGATGATGCTGATGATGAGGAGGAGGAGGACGATGATGATGACAGTGGTGCTGATATTGCTGCTGATGCTGATGCTCATGCTGGTGATAATGATAATGATGATGAGGACGATGCTGATGAAGAACATGACGATGCTGATGATGATGATGTCGATGATGATGAGGATGATGATGAGGATGAGGATGATGATAACACATATGATGCGGATGATGATGATCATGATGATGATGAGGATGCACATGCTGATGCTGATGATACTGATGATGGTGATGATGATGAAACTGATGATGGTGATGGTGATGCTGATGATGCTGATGATGATGCTGATGATTATGATGATGCTGATGCTGATGCTGATGCTGGTGGTGATGATCAGAGTGAGGGGGCTCAGTGGTCAGTATCGTCCCTGGGTGTTCGCCTGAAGTGGGATTCCGTGGGCCAGATTGTTGTTGTCTGTTGTTGTTTGTTGTTTGTTTGGTGTTGTTGGTTGTTCTCGTCGTGGTCATGCTCGTCTTTACCTGCGACCCACTCCGCGCCCGCCACCTCGCTCTTATCCGCAACTGCGGGGAGCTACATGCGTTCCAGGATTAGCGAGGCTTCCAGGATTTCCCAAACTTCGTAATCGTCCACACGGGCTGCAGAAACGAGGGCCGCTGGATACGCTGGAAATCCTGGAACTTGTTCGGAACCAATCCTATCGTGAGATCATCCTCGTCCTGTGCTCCTCCCTCCTGCCTCCCCCCGGACATGCTCGCGCCGCGGAGGAAACGGGACGGAATGTCTTTTGACGTGCGCGGCCTTGGGGGGCCCTCGCCGGCCGCGGGATGGGCCAAAAAGCGATCCGGGGCCAAACACCAGTCCCTTGGAGACTGGTCCTTCCAGATGGGGGCCGAGCAGAGGGGGTCGAAGGATCGCTCTGCATCGCCGACGCATCGGCGATGCGGCTCGATGTGGACCCCAATTTTCTCCACGCCGACGTCGCCGATGCATCGGCGATGCGTCGGCGATACGGTGCATCCTCTGGCCCCACCTGTGCGGACCCCATGTAGGAGAGGCGCCTATGGAGGTGGTCCAGAGTTCGGGGAGCCCCGCCTCGAAAAGATCAAGACGTTAGAGGGTCCTGGGTCCCTGCTGCCCAACCTCCACCCTCCTGCTCCTTCCTCCTCGCCTCCTTCCTCCTCACCTCCTTTCTCCTCGCCTCCTCCCGCCTCCTCGCCTCCCTCCTCCTCCTCCTCCTCCTCCTCCTCCTCCTCCTCCTCCTTCGCTTCCCCGCCTCATCGCCTCCTCCTCCGCCTCCTCCTCCGCCTCCTCCCTTTCCTCCTCCTGCTCCTCTTCTTCGCCTCATCGCCTCCGCCCCGCTGCGCAATCTCTTTCCTCTCGCTCCTCCTCGGTCTCTTTGCTGCGCTCCCCTTGCCTTCCTAGCCGCGGAGCCGTGGCGCCTGCAGCCGCACGAGGCACAGTGTGTAGCGTGCAAGGCCCCGGCGACGTGGCCTCGGCGGCAGACGGAAGGACGGCACGCATGAGAGCGCAGCCGCAGTGCCCGCAGGGGCACGGGGCAGCGGCGCCTCATTCGGCGTGTTCAGGAGGGGGAACAACAATAAAGTAACACACACACACACACACACGCACGCACGCACGCACGCACGCACGCACACACACACACACACACGCACACACACACACACACACGCACACGCACACGCACACGCAACAGACACACCGCACCGCACCGCACCACAACACAGCACAACTCTGCACAGACAGCGTAACACCAACACAACACAACACAACACAGCACAGCACAACTCAACATACCACACATACATGTGCACGTATTTACATTCATACTTGTATGTTCATATCTATATACACGCACATCCATATATACCCATACCTATATCTGTGTCTGTGCGCATCGCATCAACAGGAGTACGAATCGGCATGAAGCAAGCCGCTCCTGGGAGACACGGGTCCTGGACCCCGAGTCGTGACGTTGGCGGCCCCGGGGCCCGCGGAGGTTGCCAGGCAGGGTCGGAGAAGGCGAGAAAGTTTGGGACCCGTCGCCCTCAGGAGGAGGAGGAGGAGGGGGAGGAGGAGGAGGGGGAGAAGGCGGGGGAGGAGGAGGAGGAGGAGGAGGAGGAGGAGGAGGAGGAGGAGGGGGCGGGAGGAGGCGGAGGAGGAGGAGGAGGAAGCAGAAGAAGATGAAGATGATGAAGAAGATGAAGAAGACGAAGAAGACGAAGACGAATAATGATAATGATAAGAAGAAGACGACGAATCATAATAATAATAGTGAAAATTATTAAAATAATATTAATAATGATAATAATAAGAATAATACTAATAAGAAGAAGACGAATAAGACGAATAATAATAATAATAATAATGAGAATAATAATACGAATAATCATAATAATAATATGACGAATAATAATAAGAAGACCAATGCTACGACTACGAATAATAATAATAATATTAATAATAAGAAGAATAATAACAATAATCATCATAATACGAATAAGAAGAATAGTAAGAATAATAATACTAATAATAGTACTAATAAGAATAAGAATAATAATAATAAGAAGAAGAAGAAGAAGAGGAGGAGGAGGAGGAGGATGAGCACGAGGAGGAGGAGCACGAGGTGGAGGAGCACGAGGAGGAGGAGGAGGAGGACTAAGAGGAGGAAGAAGAAGAAGAGGAGGAGGAGGAGGAGGAGGAGGAGGAGGAGGAGGAGGAAGGGGGGAGGAGGAGGAGGGAGGCTGGAGGAGGGAGGATGGCGCGACCCGCGGGCCCCCGCCAGGTCAGCCGCGGGGGCGCGAAGGGAACCGCGCGTCGCGCGTCGCGGTCTGGGCCGCAGCGGCTGCCGTTCTCCAGGGCGCGCGGCGCGAGGGCGCGTGTGGGTGCAGAGATGGCCGCGCGTCGCGCATGGCGGGCGCGCGAGGCGCGAAGCTGGGCGACCTGGTTCCCTTCCAGGGTAAGAAGCATAATCCTCCTCCTCCTCGTGCTGTTCCCGGCGTGTGCGCTTCACTTTCTGCTTGTGCATGGGGGGGCTGTTCCACGTTTGCAGCTTGGCACGTTCGCTTGGGGGTCGGGCGCAGCTAGGACTAAGTTGCCGATTCTCATCGGGCGTGCGCATGCACGACATCGTCGGCTGTAGGCAGGTCCTTATGCGTCTAGTCTGCTCAGAGATCGACCTGTGTTCCAGAGGCGTGCGTCGTCGTCGTCCTCCTACATCTCCTCGTGGCCCCGAGGCGGCGCCGACTGGGCCGACCTGTGCCTGCGGGCGATGTGCGCGTGCCGCGCCGGGACGGACTTGGACATCTGGCCCCTCGAGGCCAGGCGGGCTGTGCCGTGCGTGCACCCGACGACGACAATCGGCTGCGGTCCACCCAAGAAGAAATGATCGGCCGCGAGATCCGAAACCGTCCCTCGCCGATCGACCATTCAGGTAGCTCGGTGGGCGGCGGGGGTAGAGTTCGTGATTCGTCGAGGAATCCGAGCCCTCGTCCTCGACGTCGCCTCCAGAGACAGCCGCCGCTGTCGTCGGCGTCGGCATCGCTGTCGCCGAGGCCTCTGGAGAATGTCGCCGTCGCCGCTGCGGCTCGATCGAGCGAGGATCGATCCTCGAGATTCGAGGGCTGGAGTTGTTGGCGGGGGCTCGATGTTCCACAGGCTCTACCCCTGGCGTTGCTCGTGCATCTTGGCGCGGCCGACGTGGCGCACGGCACTGGCGCTGAGGGCAGAGTGCCCTCCCGCGAAAACACATCGCACACACACCCCGCAACTGCCACGCCGAGAAAAGGGCCAAGGGAGCCCCAGGGAGGCCGCACCCGGGCTGCCGAGGAACGACCTGGCTCGGCGAGCGCCCTCGCAGCGCGGCCGCACCCCTCGGGGTGCCAGTGCGGAGGAGGCCCGAGAGGGGCCCCGCTCCCAGAGCTCTGACTGTGTGCACCTCGTCGTCGGCCCTCGAGCCCCGAGGGCGAAAGATCCAGCGGGGGTCGGGGTGCCTGCGCGGCGGGGGCCCCGAGAGGGGCTCCGTTCCCAGAGCTCTGACTGTGTGCACCTCGTCGTCGGCCCTCGAGCCTCGAGGGCGAACGATCCAGCGGGGGTCGGTCGATCCTCCAGGTTTGGCGCGTCTGGCCTCGAGGGGACCCGTCGGGGCCTCCCGGAGGCCCTGGAGGGGCCGTCAGAGGCCTGCGGGATCGGGGTCGTCGCCGTCGTCCTCGGCGGCGTCCAGGTCGGCGTCGCCGTCGCATCTGAGGGTCGCCTCTGAAGGTCGCCACTGTCGTCGTCGTCGTTCGTCGCCGTCGCCGTCGCCGCCGTCGCTTTTGCCGCCGCTGTCACCGCCGCCGCCGCCGTCGTCTTCGCCGTCGTCTTCGCCGTCGGCCTCACGGCTTCGCCGTGGTCGTTGTGCACGTCCTTAGGGGGCCGACCCCGAGATGGTGGAGGACGGGCGCACCGTGCTCGACCTGCCCGAGGACGGCCTGAAGGGCTACATCCTGGGCAAGAGCGGCGGCCGTGTGCTCCAGATGTGCGAGGACAGCAGGGCTGCGCAACAGAAACGGGTTCCACTGCGCCGACAGTGGCGCGCAAGTTGCCCGCGTGAGGTCGCGCGCAAGCGCCCTCGTCTTCAGTGCAGCGTGCCGCGCTGGCGGCGCGAACGAGCTGCGTGTGTAAGGTCGCCGTGCCATCTCGCGTAAGACCCGTTTCTGATCGTCGCTCAGTTGGCCGGTGGCGGCCACCGGCGGCCATCGGCGGCTTGTCGGCGGCCATGAGCGGCTTTCGGCGGCCGTTGGCGGCGGCCGTCGGAAGCGGCCGCCCAGGTAGACGTTGTATGGCCCCGCTCGGCTTGGAAGGTTTGTCCCACAGCAGTGTTTGTGTGTTCGGGCTTCCTATTCCTTCCCCCCTTAGCAGTGCCCGCACTTCGGGGTTCCTCCGGTGGTTCGTGAAGATCCTCTGTCTGCACGCCGGGTTTTCGCCACGCCCCGCGCGGGGGGCCTCGACTCTAGACGTGCCGAGGTTGCTGCACGGCGTCGCCCGTGCCGCCTCGTGGGCGCCAGGCGCCGGGGGAGGTGTGCCGTGCGCCACATCGCCGCCCCCGTGCCGCCTCGTGGGCGCTCGTGGGCGCAGGGGAGGTGTGCCGAGGTCGTGCCATGTTGCCGCCCCGAGGGCGCCCCGCGCCTGGAGGTTTATGCCGAGGTTGCGCCGCGTCGCCGCCCGTGCTGCCTCGTGGGCGCTCGTCGGCGCGTCCCGCGCGCGGAGCTTGCACGCCACAGCTTGCGCCACAGAGCTTCACCACACAGCTTTCATCTCTAGCTCGCACCTTGTAGCTCACACGGCATATATTGCTTGCATCACACAGCTCAACAGCTTTCACATCCAGAGCTCAAGCCGCCTACACTACAACATAGCTTATACCGCATAGCTTTCACCTCTAGTTTACATCGCATAAGTTACATGCCATAGCTTACACCGCATGGCAGTCACTGCATGACCTTCACCTCTAAAGCTTACACCGCACATATTGCACATCGAAGCTTTCGCCTCCCAGCTTCTACTCCATAGCGCTCACCTCCACGGTGCAATAACCCACTGTTAGGGGCCCCCGTTGGCTAACATGGTTTTCCCCCGAGATCGCGTTTCGATAGATGGCTCTTATCGTGGTGCAGAAGGACAGCAGAGAAGTCCCACAGCGGAGACGGGGAGCCCGTAGACCCTCGCTCCGGCAGCTGCTTCGCCCGAGACTTCCTGCCGCGCAATCGCCTCAATGCCAGGCTGCCATCTTTGTCCGTGCGGCCACGATCCGTCTCCGTAGCAAAAAACACAGAAAGGTGTACATGGCCGCGCTTTGCCGCTATGAGGGTGCTATGCTGTGGGAATGGTTCGGTGGCAAATCATGGGAGCCTGGTGTACCCTCGCGATTCCGCCTTTAGCGTCGATTAGCGTCTGGAATCGATGAGATAGCGCCGATTTGGCATCGGTTAGCGTCAATTTAGCGTCGTTTAGCGTCGATTTAGCGTCGATTGGCGTCGATCCGCAAGAGCCGGCAAGAGGGTATGGGAGGCTCCCACGAGTTGCCACCGAACGGTTTGGAGTGGATTTTGCGGCGGCGGTGGCGACGACGGGACGACCATGTCCGAGTTTGGGGTATTCTGTAGGGGTCCCTTGGGGCGCCTTCGTCGTCACGGCTGGATTCGCTTCGAGAAAACACTCGGAAATCACCCGTGAACAGGTCTGCGAGGGCGGGGTTCTGAGGGGTTGATGACGACGATGACCTCGACGGCGGCGGCGTGGGCGCCGACGGCGTCGACGGCGGTGCGAGGAGGTCGGCGTTGTCGCCGCTTTTGTCAACGAGACGACGAGGCCGGAGCCCAAGCCGGTTGAGCCGGAGGTGGACCTGTCCCTGGGCTCCATAACCGTGGGCGACCTGGTGGAGGCGAAGTTCGGGGGGAAGCCCCGGCCTTTCGAGGCGAAGGTCCTCAAGGTCTCGGAGGACAAGGTTACCCTCAAGTGGACTTACGACGACGACGTGCCCGAGGAGGAGCTGCCCAAGGCCGACCTCATCAGGAAGCTGCCGCCGCCGCCGAAGGCGAAGAGCCTCGAGCTCGCCGTGGGCGACCTCGTCGAGGCCAAGTTCGGCGGCAAGGGGGAGCGCCTCTTCGAGGCCAAGGTCGTGAAGGTCTCCGGCTCGAAGGTGACCCTCAAGTGGACGTACGACGACGACGTCCCCGAGGAGGAGGTCGACAGGGACGCCGTCGTCGCGAAGGTCGCCCCCCCGAAGGCGGAGAAGCCCAGGGCGCAGGCCCCAGAGGTGCCACAGGTGGCCAGCCGACGGGCGCTGCCAGGAGCCAGAGGAAGGAGAGGCGGCACTGACAGTTGAGGAGGGCATTCTGATACCAGGAGGAGGAGGAGGAGGAGGAGGAGGAGGAGGAGGAGGAGGAGGAGGAGGAGGAGGAGGAGGGAGGGGGAGGAGGAGGAGGAGGAGAGGAGGGGAGGAGGAGGAGGAGAGGAGGGGAGGAGGAGGAGGAGGAGGAGGAGGAGGAGGAGGAGGAGGAGGAGGAGGAGGAGGAGGAGGAGGAGGAGAGGAGGGAGGAGGAGGAGGAGGAGGAGGAGGAGGAGGAGGAGGAGGAGGAGGAGGAGGAGGAGGAGGAGGAGGAGGAGGAGGAGGAGGAGAGGAGGAGGAGGAGGAGGAGGAGGAGGAGGAGGAGGAGGAGGCCGAGGAGGAGGCCGAGGAGAAGGAGGCGCAAGGTGTTGGCCCCAGCCGGCGCGTCCCTTCCCTCCTCTTCCGCCCTGGGGGTGGTTGTTGCTTGCTGCGAGCAACGGCCGCCCCTGGGGGTCTGGCACCGAGCGTTGGAAAGAAACACCAGCACCCATCGAAAGTGCGTTTTCACCGCTTCCTGTCGCAGGAACACCTCACCGCCTAACGAAGTCATCGCATTGAACATGCATCACATCGAAAACAAACAAGTTAGCCTTCATCAGAAAAATCCGATGCCTCGCGCTTTCTCCGGTCAATGACTTGCTGCCCTAACTCCTCAGCTCGGGTGCGAGAGGAGGCGGAGTCGAGGGTCGAGGTCTTCGCGCTGGGCTCTTGCATTCAAAGAATAGTTTGGGAATTCAAAAACCTGGTTTTTGAGTTCAAACAAGACTGTTTCTTGAATTCAGAAAACAGATGTTTGCCTTCAAATATGGAGTCGAGGGTCGAGGTCTTCGGGCTGGGCTCGCTTCGGAGTCCTGGCCGGGACGCGCCCCGGGAGAGGCCCGGGCTCGGGGAGCCTAGTGGCGTGCTGCTGGGCAAGGAGCGCCCGATGTCAAGCAGTGGCGGAGCGTCCTGGCGTGCTGATTGGGCCACCAGAGAACATGGCTGGCCGATAATGCCTCGCTTAACACATCAGGCTCATCTTCTAAGAACGTAGTTGTTGCTCTTAGAACATGTATCGGTTCTAAGAGCATGTCGTGGTAGGCCTATAGGAAGGCCGGGACGACCGGTCCCTGCTCAAGAGGGGACACCTCGAGCCCAGGGCACCTACTGATCGCCGATGGGGGGCCTGATGCCCCGCCGCGCCCAGCAGCGTGCAGCCCCCCTTTCGGGGGCCTGTCGCCGATCTATTGGCGATGTGTCGTCGATTCCAGCTCGAGGCTTTCTCCCTCTCGAGCTGGTCCCGCCCCCAGGCCTCGCTGTGTCGAAACCGGGACACGTCAGACTCGAGTTCGCCGGAGCTTGGCTTCGCCGATGCCTTGTGACGGGCCCGTCCCGAACTTTTCGCGGTCCGGTGGTTGTTATTCGTGGGATGTCTGCAGCGGGAGTTTGCGCTTAGATTTCAGACTGGGGCTCGTCCTTTCACTGGCGGCCCCGCCAAGCCAGCCCGAGTCTCATGGAGCGCCGCATGGGCTTAGACTTAAGTCGGGCCTGTCCCTCTGCAGGAGGAATGTTCAAAAATAGTACAAAATAGGTGGGGACGATTCTTTACGTTATATTTATTGCTCAAAAAAGAAACAACAATAATAACGAAAACGCTATTTTTGATGTTTTGGGCTACTTCAAATGTCTCGCCCAAATCCAGGGGGCAGGCCCGACCTAAGCCCAGGCCTCCCGCCGCCGAGCTCTTCCCCCAACCCTTGGCATCGCTCGGACGTGTGCATTTTTCCTCGGCGACGGCCATCGAGGAGCATCCTGGATCATTTGGCGAAAAAGACGCGCGAAATCGAACAATACACGAGGAATGGACGTCCGAGCGATGGCGAGAACCGGGGTCCGCGCGGGGGGCGTCTGCAGCAGGCTCGCGGCGCCCTGGGCGCGGCGGCTGCGCTGGCTCGGGCGCCTCATGGCTGAGGCCCCAGCGGGGGCCTCGCGGGGCCCCCGCAGCGTCCGGGGATCCGAGGCGGGGTCCTCTCCACAGCTTACCAGCCTCGAGCGTATCCCTATCCCTAAGATTGACACGCCAAAGGGCGATGACAATCTCAGGGATTCGCCATCAAAAAATAAGGGAATCCCTAAGATTGGCATCGTGATGAGGAGGTGCCCAGCATAGGGATAGGGATATGTTCCAGGCTGGTAAACAGCCACCGCCTGGGGGATTGATCTTCGGGGCCCTCGGCAGGCGGCGGATGTGGACAGATGTCTTGGTCCCGGGAGGGCCAAGCAAATCCAGATCCGTCGCCTGTGCCGAGGTCCCCGGAGGTCGAAGCTCGGCTGCGGTTATGGATAACTCCCTCGGGGCGCCGGAGACGGAGTAACAGCAAACGGGGGCACGGGAAGCGTCGATCGCCACGTTCGGCTACGCCTCTGTGGACGTGGGCCTAAGGCCTCGGGCTCCATGCATGGGGGCATAGTATCAGGCGATCGCAAGCATGGATGAAGGGGGCGTGGATCAGCGACGGGTCCCGTTTCTTTAGGAAGCCGCGGATTCCCCCCGCCGAGCGAGGCGGCACCGGCCGCATTGTGGGGAGGGCACCTCCCCCGATCTTTGGATCGGCACGAAAGAAGTGGGTACGGAAAGAATGGGTACAATGCCCAACAGCAGTTCCTGTTCGTTTTGAACAGGACTCGCTGTCGGTGTCGCCGCGGCCTGTGTCCATTTGAGACAGAAGGCCGCCTGCCCAACAGTGGCGGTCGCTGGTTTGGGCATTGGACCCAGTCTTTCCGTGCCCATATTCCGGGCGTCCAGAGTGGATTTTTTGGCGACCGCGCGCCACATCCATGGATCGCTAACCCGTGCCTGCGCGCCCCCGACAGTGAACGGGGGCACGTCGAGCAGGCGAGAAAAGCCCTCGTTGCACAGGGGGCCCCGCGCGCCCCCGCCTCTCGCGTTGGGGGCCTCTGGCGAGAGCGGGGCGGGCGAGGGCGACGGGCGAGCGCGCCTCCCTCGCGCGGGGTAGGTTGGGCCAGGCCCGATGTCATGTGCAGCTCCTCTGATGGAGCGCCTTGGGGGCAATTTGGTGAATCGGTCTCTGCCTCTCCTTTTGTTAGTTGACCTCTCTCTCTCTCTTTATTTCTCTCTCTCTCTCTCTCTCTCTTTCTCTCCCTCTATACATTTATATGGTAGATTTAGATATGTGTAATGTACATGCGTAATGTATGTTTGTAATGTATGCTGGCATGTATGTATGTATGCATGTATGTCTGCCTGTCTGTCGGTATGTCTGTCTGTCTGTCTGTGTGTATGTGTATGTGTATGAATGTGTATGTGTATGTGTATGTGTAAACGTATGTGTATGTGTATGTGTATGTGCATGTGCATGTGTATGTGTATGTGTATGTGTATCTGTTTGTGTATGTATATAGATATGTAGGTATGTAGGTATGTAGGTATGCAGGTATGCAGGCATGCAGGAACGTAGCCATGTAGGTATGCAGGTATGTCGATATGTAGGTATGTAGGTATGTGGATATGCAGTTATGTAGGTATGTAGGTATGTAGGTATGTAGGTATGTAGGTGTGTAGGTATGTATGTATGTATGTATGTATGTATGTATGTATGTATGTATGTGTGTGTGTGTGTATGTATGTATGTGTTTATGCATGTATGTGTGTGTATGTATGCATGTAGGTATGTATGCATGCATGCATGCATGCATGCATACATGCATGTATGTGTATGTGTGTGTATGTGTGTATGTGTGTATGTGTGTATGTGTGTATGTCTGTATGTATGTATGTATGTATGTACGTACGTACGTACGTACGTACGTATGTATGTATGTATGTATGTATGTATGTATGTATGTATGTGTGTATGTGTGTATGTGTGTATGTGTGTATGTATGTATGTATATATGCATGCATGAATGCAAGTACGTATGTATGTATGAATGTATGTATGTATACGTTCTTGCGCCATCCACCATCACGGTGCACCCGCACGGTAACGGGGGTCGTGCTGTTCCACGGCGGTCGTGCAACACCCGCAGGGCAGACCAGGCCACGAGAAGGAGTACCCATCGCTTGTCGAAAATGGGCAGGTTTGGATTCCCATCTTCAGATCCGTTTTGGGCGCCTTCCTATTTCAAGAGTCGAGCGGTTTTTTCTTGCCTCCTCGTCAGGGGGTTGGCGAAAATCAAATTGTCTTTCTACGCCGTCTTGCTTTGTGCTCTTACAGACTTCTCCCGAGGTGGGTGACCTCGTGGATGCGAAGTTTGGCAACAAAGACCGGTGGTTCGAGGCCAAGGTCCTCAGCGTCGGCGACAAGGTTGCGAAGCTCAAGTGGACGTACGACCCCGACGTGCCAGAGGAAGAGGTGGAACTGAGCAATATCAAGTGCAGGCCGCCCATAGCCACGTGCAAGTTCCACATCTACGGCCCGGTCCGCGGCCGAATGGAGCTCGAGCTCAAAGTCTTGAGGCTGGTAGAGGCCAAGGTGGAGGGCTTCGTCTCCAACAAGCCGCGCGCCACCGACAAGACCGAGGGCCTCGGCTGGAGCGTGGTGCCGCTCGTGAATGACGGGGAGCTGAAAGGGAAGGTGACAGGCAAGGGTGGCAGCGTCCGTCTGAAGCTCAGCAAAGCGTCGGGCGCCGCGGTGGAGTACATCGGGAATGCCGCATGGCTGGTCGGGACCGGACCTCAGCGTGCCGTGGCGACGGCACTGCTGGACCTGCTGCAGAACTCGCCGCTGGGCGCCATAGAGAAGGTCCCGGAGGTGCTGCAGGACCTGTGCACGTCGGTGGCCGTCCCGGCGGACGCCTCCCCGGTGGTGACGGGCAGAGGGCGCGCCACGATGAACAGCTTGGAGGACGCCGCCAGCTCGCAAAGGGGCCCCGATGCCTCCAAGCGTTGCCTGCACTGGAGGGGTCCTCGCGGAAGTCCAAGGAGTGGCGAAAGTTTCCCGCCGATGTTGGTGGCCGCCTGGGTTCCCGGGGTTCCCGGTTCTGGGCTCTTGGGTTCCTGGTCACTGGCTCCGGTCCCATTTCGGTGGGTTCCTGGGTTCCCCGGTTCCTGGTGGATCTCTGTATCGATCTCTTTATCGATGCCATTTCGAACCATCCCCTGATCGAGCTTTTCCCTGGTGTAATGGAATTCGGTCTTGGAGGCGTTTGGCCGATGTCGTCTTCCCTGGGCCCTGGGGCCGTCACAAAGCGACCTGGAACTCCAGAGGAGGAGTTGGGGTTGGGGGGAAGGGCATCAGGGGTCCAAGACCCATGTCTCGGGGGCGGCAAAGAGGGGGGTGATGACTAAAACGAGGGGCCATGATATCTCCACAGATTTCCTGGCGCCTCTTCTTATTTCATTACGTCCCTGGCCCCCCCGCTGCGCCGCGCACATGCCGCCGGTCATGATTTGCAGCCTTCGAAAGCGGCGACCACTTCGCAGATCGTAGCACCCATGGATGGCGAGGTCTAATCTGAATATGCCTGTGCCCCTGGCTCCGCTGGACCCACCTCAAGGGGCACACAAACACACAAATAAATACACAAATAAAACGATTCCCCATATCTTCCCATATGTTCGGTGTTTCTGTCTTCCCCCCCACTTCCCATATTTTCCCATATTTTCTTGGGGATCGACGATTCATTGTGTCTGCGTGTCTCTCTCCCTCCTGACCCACTAGCGGTCCGCGAGAGCGACGACGAGGTCAGCCCCACAGGGGCAGCGGGCCTCTCGATGTTCGAAGCGAGGGCCCCACGCAGGAGGATCAGGAAGAAGCCTCGTCCTCGCGGGTTTACGCAGTGAGGGCCTGCGAGCGCTGCTGGGAGCGCTGGGCCTGCGACAGTCACTCTCGTGGTGCCGCCTCGGCGCTGGCAGGGCTGCCGTGGCACGAGGGTGCAAGGAGGGGCAGGAGGGGGAAAAGGAGGAGGGTTGCCCACCCAGTCCCCTCGTAGAACAATCAGGAGGGAGAGAAACACACAGACACAATGAATCGTCGCTCCCCGAGAAAATATATGGGAAAGTATCCCGGCAAAGCAACCTAACAGCGATATGTAGAAGCATATCTGAAAGCATTCCCCTTAAGATTCAGATGAAAATCCAGTTGTAGAATTCTGCTGTTCTCGCAGTCGTAGTCGCATTCGCGATGACAGTCGCAGCGGCAACGGCAGTCGCAGTCACAGCCTCAGCCTCAGCCTGCCTCAGCCTCAGCCTGCCTCAGCCTCAGCCTGCCTCAGCCTCAGCCTCAGCCTGCTTCAGCCTCAGCCTCAGTCTGCCTTCAGCCTCGGCCTCAGCCTCAGCCTGCCTCAGCCTCAGCCTGCATCAGCCTCAGCCTCAGCCTCAGCCTGCCTCAGCATCAGCCTGCTTCAGCCTCAGCCTCAGCCTGCCTCAGCCTCAGCCTCAGTCTGCTTCAGCCTCAGCCTCAGTCTGCCTTCAGCCTCGGCCTCAGCCTCAGCCTGCCTCAGCCTCAGCCTGCCTCGGCCGCAGCATCAGCCTGCCTCAGCATTCAAAATGTGGCCCAGGAATGGAGTTCTGGGAACTAGAAGAACACGAAGTGGCCTACAGTTGGCTCCGGGCATTCAAAATCATGCCCAGGAATGGAGTTCTGGGAACTTGAAGAGCACGAAGTGGCCTACAGTTGGCTCCGGGCATCCAAAATGTGGCCCGGGAATGGAGTTCTGGGAAATCGAAGAGCACGAAGTGGCCTACAGTTGGCTCCGGGCATCCAAAATGTGGCCCGGGAATGGAGTTCTGGGAAAATTCGGGAAGTGGGGGGGAGCGACGATTCAAATATATGGGAAAATACGGGAAGTGGGGGGGGAAAATATCTGGCATCCAAAATGCGCCCGGGGAGCGACGATTCAAATATATGGGAAAATACGGGAAGTGTGGGGGGAAACAGAAGCACCGAACATATGGGAAAAGATGGGGAATCATGTGATCTGTGTGTATTTATTTGTGTGTTTGTGTGCCCCTTGAGATTAGGAAAAATCCTCGTCCTCGGGTTGCCCACCCAGTTCCCTCGTAAAACAAGTGAGAACCCCTCAGTGCGGGCACCGTCTGGAGAGTAGCGCATCAGCAGATCATCACGGAGCTCCGCGCGGGTTTCTTGAATCGGCGTTTGGCCCCCCGAGCGGCGCTCCTGGCACCGTTCCTGGAAATCCGCGCGGGTCTTTGAACCTTGATGTTGATGCAGGTTCTTGTTCCACTGAGGATGAGGCTGGGGTTTTGTCCTTCTGGGCGCCCGGGAAGAAGGTCGAGGCGCCAGAGCCGGCCAAGCTGGAAGTCGTAAAGGACGGGAAGCTCGAGGGCCTCTTCAAGCATCCCAAGCGTGGCGATGAGTGGTACGAGTGCAAGGTGCTCGAGGTGCTGGAAGACGGCAAGAAGGTGAAGGTCCAGTGGGACTACGACCCAGACGAGAAGACGGAGGTCGATGTGGCCACAGAGTGCCGGGCGATCCTGTCGGGGAAGGCCTTGGAGGAGAGGGCCGCCAGGGAGGCCCTGGCCGAGAACAAGACGCTTGTCGTCTTCGGCCCAGAGCGGTCTCGCGCCATGGTTGCCCTGAGAGTGAAGGCGACTGTGGAGTCCAAGATCGCGGGCGCCTTCCCCATCGCGGAGGTGGCGTCGCCGTCCTCCGCAGATATCGAGACATTCGGCGTCGTTGCCGTCGAGGTCTCTCCGGACGAGCTGTCGAGGTGTGGGAGCGACAGGAGTCGAAGAAGAAATAATTGAACACCTATGACATTTTGGAGGTCCGCGCAGATGTGTTTGGATCGACGCTGGACCCCCCGCGGCTGCGCCTCCAGCGCCGCCCCTGCGAGGTTCGCGCACCAGGGAGGGAGGTCCAGCGCGGATTCAAGAACCCTGCGCGGAATTCCAAACAATTCTATCCGTGTAGTTTTTGTTCGCTTCTCCGAGGAGAGCTGCCGCCGGCAGGGCTGCCGGGTGCATCTGCGAGCAGGTCGGTCAGGCCTTGTTCGTGGCGGGCTCGAGCGCGGAGCGGGGCAGGTGCACCGACTACGTTAAGTGGCTGGCCATGGAGAAGCCCAGTGTGCCGGCGGGCCGCGCAGACGTCAGCGAGTTGATGGTTCCAGAGGCCAAGGTGGACCGCCTTGACGCCTACGGCGTCGACCCCATAGAGAAGGATCGGGTGTTGCTAGAAGTGCCCCTGGCCCAAGGTGCCCCCAGGATTTCCAAGGAGGCCCCACGGCCTTCAGGGCACCCCTCACGACTCCCAGACGGCCCCAGGGGCTCCAATATTGAGCGAAAAGCTGGGGGCACCTTGTGCCAGGGGCACCTTTGGCAACCCCCGAAAGGAGTTCGACACCCTGTGCTTCTTCGACGCCGGCGCCAGCTCCGTGTCCACGGGTGGGCGGCGTATGGTCGTCATCGGGCAGGATTCAGGAGGGCAAACACACACAGATACAAATCATCGTAGAGTCTTTGGAAAACATTGGAAAGTATGGGAAGTGTGGTGAGGGGGAAAAAGAAAGTCAAGAGAATGTGCGAAGATATAGGGGACCCTGGAATGTGTTCCTATTTCCCCACCGACAGGTTGGGGGTGATAGATTTCAAGAACAGGCTCCCCTGGCCAACCCCATCTTGCATACCGCGGCCGCCAGACCCCAAGTTGTCCCGAGTATCCCGGGTGTCCCGCCTCGCGCCCGGCCGACCCCACCCGGCAAACCGCGGCCGCCAGACCCCAAGTTGTCCCGAGAATCCCGAGTATCATGGGTGTCTTGCTTTGCGCCCGGCCAGCCCGGCCCTGCATACCGCGGCCGCCAGACTCAAATTTGTCTCGATGATCCCGCCTCGCGCCTGACGAACACGACAGAACACAACACAACATGACGTACCCGAACATAACATAGCAGACATTGGCATAACATATCATAGCATGACACATAATCACATACTAAATCATAGCACGACATCAGAGCATAGTGTCATCGAGCATGACATATCACAATATGAAACAAAATTAATATTACATGACCTAACATCGCACCATCATGCCATAATAAGGTCGAACATATCATAGCAAGGGCACTACAACACAAATCATACCATAGCATCACATAACATACAGTTCATAACATGGCAGCACATCGGACTGCATAGCACGACATACTATGACATAGCCATAACATAACATATACCAACTTGACATACCAGATCCTAGCACCACACGGCATCCTCGAACATATCATAACACGGCAGCGGAGCAAAGCGACACATATTAGCAGAGCATCTCATACTATGCAATGCAGAGCCGAGCCGTCAACAAACGTAACATCACATGACATACAGCGCATACCATGACATAACAGCAGACGGCATAACACAGCAGAACATGACAGAGCCGAGCATACCATAACACACCATTTTAGTAATAATAAGCAGCGCCGCCACCAGCATCACGGAACACAGTATGCTACATCGAGCCGGGTTGTCAATAGTATCACGGAACAGAGCAACGTAAACCATGTTTTGACACAGCACAACATCTCATGTTATAGCATAGTGCCACAGAGCAGATCATGCCATCTTGTCTCAGATTATATGGTGGCAGAAATTTGCATTCCATAACATACGCAGTCAGAAGAGAAACATATGGGTGAAGAGGGACATTATAGCAGACGACGCATCCATTGTCACAGGCGTCGCGACGTTACGCTGTTCCGTTTGTCATCACAGGACATACTAAAGCATAACATGAAAGACCGTCACTACATGGAACACGGTTGAACCTGGTGTAAATCCAAACGCGGCATTTGTGCAATATTGGAGAGGAGTACCACGACATAACAGGACAGCAACACATACTAACAGCGCAGATCGTAGTATATCAGATTGAGCTCAGCCGTCAACAGCATCACGGAACAAATCATACTATAACATCGTTTGGCATAACACATAATTTCTTAATATGGTGCCGTAGAGCATCGCATAGCATATCATAACATATTGACACATTTCTTTGCAGAGGCGAGCACGACAACGCATTTTTAACGGACGAGATAACGGAAGGGCAGAGGGACCTCATACCATAACGTACCCTACGTACATTTGATTCAGCTTGACCACGGGAACCAACAGTCACAGCATGTGCGATTTGACGATGTATCTAACTGACAAGCATCACGACATCACGCAGACCCTCCGATATCACAACATCACAGAGCACAGTGGCACATTGTACATTCTGGCATAATCCGGCCACACAGACTCGCACTACAGCACAACATCACGTCTGCAGTGGCCACCACTCCACAGCGTCGCCCAGGCGTGACGACGTCATGCCGGCCTGTCGAGAACATGACAGGACATAATATAGCATCACATAGTATATCGTTTCTACATGGAACATTGGAAGTGACAGGCGTCGCGACGTCACGCTGGCCCGTCGATCTCACAGCATCACAGAACACAGCACTCATGGTTTATCGGGGCAGGATCCAACCAAACACACTATAGCACAACATCGCCTATACAGTAGCCTCCACTCCACGGCATCGCCCAGGCGTCACGCCGTCACGCTAGCCCGTCGAGGACTGAATCGGACAGACAGAAGATTGCAGGATAGGCCGTTGCCACATGGAAAATGGTCGAACATATTTGAACACAGTAACGGCAGTAGTGGAGATGAGTAGCACGACAGAGCAGGACATGGCAAACCACACTAAAAGAGCGTATCCGAGTAATCAATATTGATTTAGCCGTCGACAGCACCACGGACCAGAGCATATTATGTCATAGCTGGACAGAGCATATCATGTCTTAAGACGGTGCCGCAGGGCGGAGCGATTCGACGACGTATGTAATGTGACAGGCGTCACGGCGTCACGCCGGCCCGTCGAGACCATAACATCACAGAACACAGCATCACACTTTACATTTCGGCAGAGTTCAATCAAACGCACTATAACACATCCTCACGTGTACAGTAGCCCTCACTCCACGGCCCCGCCCAGGCGTCACGACGTCACGCCGGCCCGGCGATGCCAGAACCTAACAGAGCACAGCGTCACATCCTACAGTTGGGCATAATCCAGCGAAACATGCTACAGCACAACATCACGTACTCAGTGGTTACCTCTGCCCGGCGCCGCCCCGTCCTCAGGTTCACCGCAGGGACAAACAGGCGCAGCAATGACCCATTCGATGACGCGTCGAACGCGAAAGGCGTCCCGAAGTCATGCCGTTTCCGCTCTCCGCCTCGCTTGCTCATCCTCATCCTTGCCTCCTTGTTGCCCTTCTCTTTCCCCGCCCGACAGGTTGCGATTGTTGGATTACAAGAGCAGGCCCCCCTGCATATCGCGGCCGCCAGGCTACAAGTTGTCCCGATTGCCCCCTGTATCCCGCCTCGCTCTGGGCCAGCCCCACCCTGCAGACCGCGGTCGCCAGACGCCAAGCTGTCTGCCACGATGATCCCCGAGAGTCCCAGGTGTCCTGCTTCACCACTCGGGAACACGACGGAACACAACATGACATGACAAAACCTACAGAACGGAACAGCACATGACAGAACAGAACAGAGCAATGCCAAGACTAGGTGGAACATGCCGAAACATCATACAACTTACCACAGCATAACAGGATGTAATAGAGAACGGCATATCACGACATAACAGAACCTACCGATATTAACATAACACAATTTGACAGCCTCGACATAACCGATCATACCATGACACAACACTACATAACATAACCCCGCCCCCCCCCCCGATCATAATTCAGACTCTCTCTTACACCCTCTATTTTGTTAGCCCGTGTCCAGAAGATTTAATTGTGGAGAGGGGCGCGGAGGCCGAGTTTGATCATCCCGGCGGAAAACGCGAACCGAAGTTACCATCATCCCATGTTGGCTAGCATCCAAAACGCTAAGCACGGCCATGGTGTTTTCACCATATCAGCTTTCGCAGCCACGAGCGTGTGGCAGGTCGGTGGGAAGCTCACCATTTCAGTTTGCCCAAGTCACGAACGTGGGGCAGGGCCATGTGGCTCTCATTTTCTCAGCCGTTCCCGAGTCAGGAACGTGTGGCACGGCCATGGGGACCGATTGGATTTTGATGTCCCATGCGTTTTTCCGAGCAGGCAGTGCATTCGAGTTTTTTAAAAAGCGCATCCCACACGGTTCGTGGCCGTTCCTCCTCTTCCTCTTCCTCCTCCTCCTCTTCCTCCTCTTCCTTCCCGTTTTCCTCCTCTCCCCCCGCACCTGTCCAGGCTCGAGCTTCCCCGAGTCTCCGAGACTCTAAGTTTCGCGCCTTTTCGAGGCACCGAGTTGCCCCCCCCCCCCCCCAGGGGCAACGATAGGGGGAGATAGGGCAGAAGGGGGCGCATTGATCCCCAATCTCCCACTGATCGGAGAGAGTGTTTCGATAGCCCCAACCTTCCCAGGAACGAGCGGATGCACGATCGGGCGCGCATCGCCGATGCATCGGGGTTGCATCGGGGTTGCATCGCCGATTCCAGGTCGATTCCCCCCCCCCCCCCCAATGCCCATCCTTCCCACACCGTTGCCCTTGAGTGCGTCGCGTGCTTCAGCCAAGTCCCAGGCCGCCGAGCGCGCCCAGGCGGCGACCCAGCCTGTCACGACCCTGCAAGGGGTCGCGAGCCCGAGCTCGAACGAGATTCTTGAGCGCATGGCCAAGCAGAACGAGAAGATCCTCGACAAGCTGTCTTGTGTCGCGGACAGTATCTCTATATTGCCGAGATGCGCCAATGCCAATCGTGCGCGCGAGGCGCTGACGCAGCAAGAACGACGGCCTGCTTTTTCCAGGCGGACCCCTGCGGTCAGCGAGCGCCCACCTAGCCGTCCTCGAGATGGTCTACAACGGTGGTTCACTCAAGACCATCGAGCACGGGCGCATCTTCAACGGGAAGGGCAAGGGGCGCGTCGAGCCGGCGGTGGCGTTGCTCTACAAGACATACTGCGAGAATGACGCCCGCCTTTACGACGTCTTCCAGAATTGCGGAGAGCCGCCCGAGAACCGCCCTTGGCCCATGACGAGCTTCAAGTCGAATTTGCTCGAGCTTGCCAAGAAGAAGGACATCGAGTGCGGCGCCGAGAACGTCCAGC